TTTTCCATATTTGCATAAGCGCCACGGAGTGCAAAGAATGGTTTCCAATGCACTCCTTGAAGGTAGCTGACATAGTGGTCGATTTTAGCATTTGAAAGGTCTCTCTCTATACTGACTTTCGTTTTGTCTGTGGGTGGATCTGGAGAACGGGGAGGCGGTCGGAGATTTGTGAATATGTGATACTATTGAATATATCATTTATAATATCATTTGAAATTTGTGAACGATGAACGAAGCCGAACTTTTGGTGATTATACTAAAGAAGACATTTTCGTTAAATATTTTTAAAACTAAATTAATGTTAGTCACTTATTTCCCTTATTTAGACTATTTGCAGGGCCGGATCATGACCTTTTGGGGCCCCTAGACTAATGAAATCATGGGGTCCCCACAGAATATTTTTTACTCGTGATATATTTTAGCGACATTTACATAGCTTGAAGTAAACTTATTGCAAATTCTTAAAAAAAAAAACTAGCATAGCTATCTTTTGTTTGTCAATAAAAATAGTCTTTAAATACCACTATTTTACTACATTTCAACACAACCGTAGTGAAAAAAAACATTTTTTATAACCGAGTCCCTCAAGCTTGGGGCCCCCAAGCTTGAGGGTCCCTGGGCTGCAGCCTATATTAGCCCCTAGGATAATCCGGCCCTGACTATTTGGTATATTTATCAGTTTACTAATACATAATCTAAGTCTGTATACCACATCAATAATGTTATTTTTACCATATTCATTCTTGATTTCACAAATGTGCTTCCATACACGCTTTCTAGATCCCAAGGTACTTTCGATCTGAATGAAAAACTTCACGGAAATCGTGACGCCTCTCTTCGTTATGTATTTAGCGCGTATCTACAGTAATTAGGGGCATCATTAAAGTCTACGATACTGCCCGAGAATTTGGTTTCATTTATGCATATGTAGTTAAAGGCTATGGGTAATGGTGCAATGTCAAAATTAATGAATTTTTCAATAGTATCTTGTACTTATATTATGACCCACTATTGCCACTCAACTAAAACGGATATATCAGAATGTGGAAATAATTAATTGCAATCTAAATTTTCGTGATATTCCCCGTTATTTCTTAAAGATCATCTGGCTCATTCTTATCTGAATTCGCAGAGAATAACCTTGTTCATTACCAGCAGGGGCAATAGGCTTTTACAAACAAACAAAACGAATGATTTTCTGCGTAACTTGTCTTCACTTATACTTGATAGAATTCATGGCAAATCTATCACTATATCAACGGTGTTTATAAGTTCATTTTCTTACTGCTATTAATGTATTTGTGGATATGTAAAAGACCAAAGAATGAGGGCTATTTTATTGCCACAATACAATGTATTTTCCATTTATCTAGAATATTGAGGGCAGGTGTCTTAGTCTTTAGATAAGTGCTGCAATGTAGACAACTTGTCATTCATATTAAAATGAGGACATAAAGTGTTTAACTATACATTAATCTTATTCTATTTTTTGTATACTTTTTTTTGTTTTAATAAAAAATAAATCATCGATAAATAAGTCAGTATTAGACTAAAATATTTTTTTGAGTAAGGGATAAGCAAGAAGTCTAAAAAAAAAAAAGAGGTAAACACCCAATACAAAATACGAAAGTAAGTGTTTTCATAATTTCATTACTACAGATTGCATTGACTAACAGACATTCCTGCAGTAAGAATTACTGATGCAAAGGTCTCTATGACAAACACAGCTATGGATTATAAATTTGGAGTCAGAATGTAACACAATATAAAACAATTTGATAATATTTTACAGCACCCTATTACAAACTAAGACAACGGCACAACTATAGGTGATCTCTGACTTAAATGCAATGTAATTACAATGCCTACTGACAACACTTTGACATATATTCATCATTATCCATTAACAAAGCTGTTTTCAAATACAAGAAGTTGAATTAGCATGACACTTAAAAGAAATGACAAAGCAAAAAATAAGAACAAGGAAAAAATGTACCAAGAATCGTTCTGAAGTTGACAGTCTTAGGTAACTGTTTGTGGAAGAGCTCAGTATAACACCCTATGCTGCCAAGTTCTCTTTCTATTGAGACCTCCAATAAACTCCAGTGAATGAACTGAGTTTTGATGATAAAAAGCTCTTTATGATGCGCTGGCGAGAACATAAGGAGGTCAAAACAGAAGTCGAAAAGGGCTTAATGCACCCACCAGCTGATATGGACACTGGAGTCAAAACCTTTCCTGTAACAGTAGTGGCTTTATCGTAATAAGTTAAAAAGATCACTTAAAAATCTGGTGGGGAAAGTGTAATTTGAATACTCGTGGCGCAACATGGACTACCTAAACATTCTGAACTGTAGTTAAAGACTTCACATCTTTCAGTATGAGAATCATACAGATAAAGACTTTTGATAACGACATAAGTAACATTTTGAGCAGAGAAAGTCAGAGAACACCCATCTGAATCAAACACATATGATGTACTTCCATATTCTTAAATTTAGCTCTAATATTGTCTTCCTTCTTATAATGGTATACCACGTTTCAGCAATTCAAATACAGAATTTCAGAGTTCAGTACATGATGTTTGTTTTCTTCCATGTTACACCTGGATGCTCCCAATGTTAAAAGAAATAAAAGAGTAATCAGCTACAGTTCAACCCATTGTTCAGTTTTATCTATACTAATAGAATAAGAGTTTCTACATCCTTGCTTTAATGAATATATATATAATACAGCTATGTACAAAGAGTGTGGTTGCGGAGGTGAACATCAGTTAGTCATAAAAAATAAGGATAAATTACCCACTATACATTAGAGGAAAGATCTTAGGTCCTTCATTAAGATACTTTACTGAAATGACTCTAACTCAGACCTAAATCCTGAAGTCAACTTTCCTCTAACCTTCGTGGATAATTTAATATTTTTCATCCATAATTCCTCTTTATGTAATTTTTTTTTTTTTGGTGGGATGGGGTAGGGGGGGTAGGTGGGTAGATATGAAAACACATTTCCAAAAATAAATCTTCACAAATATATCTTATGAATACGATTTCGAAGATGTTCACGACAGCATTTTATGTATGGTGAATTTGGCAAACATATATTATCGAGTTATTCACAAGTTTGGCAACACTGGTACTTAAAATATGCTTTGACCACAGCACAAGCAATCGGTGAGTTTAACGGTGCACTTTTTGTCATTTCTGATCCGACAGTGCCATAAATTTGGCCATGAAAGATCGTAAAATTTCAAATGACTATGAACTAATTTTTTCTTCGAAAAAACTAAGAAACATAAAGCATAATGTCTGATAAGTACATAAATCACTAGGCAACAAAATGTCGAAATACATAAATACAAGGCCAAACTTTGAGAAAAAAAAAACGTAAAATTAAATTATAAGTTATAAGCTGCATGAGAAAATAGTGAAATATTATGCACCAATATTATGTATACAAACATACACTTGAGAAAAAAGATAATTTGTGCTAGATCTGAAAACCAATTCTGCAAAACTGGCTTGTGCTGTGCTCACAGAATGAATGAATTTAAATGAGTATCAATTATGATATATTTGCTCTCATAAGCTGCCACAATGAATTCAGACAAAGCATCTGAAAAAAGGTACATAACAAAATGTCTAAGAGAGATTCACTTACTACCATGAAACATGACATGAAAAGCAACAGTTGAAATGATAACATACCCCATTTGGCTCCAATAGCTTTGTTTTATATTACAAATAAATACAATTTTTTCCCGGTATTATAAATAAAAAAAAATTGTTATGGACGAAAAAACGTGAGGTATCTATCATTACATGAAGGGAAATAATTGTGATAAAATAACAGATTTTTATTAACACCAAGAAGAAAAAAAGAAATATTTTTATTTTTGTATCTGGTGATCTACATTGGAGTTCAGGGATGACTATTCTAGTCTTTTGCCAGACTAAAAAGTGGATATTCTTCCCTCCCTAACACTAATGGCAGCGTCTCAGTAATCTACAATGTTTCTTTTTTTTAAATCTCTCTCAAAAGAAGCCTTAAGCTAATAAGCTAGAATTTGTCAATCCCTTTACTAAATACATTTGATTCTGGCAAAAATAATTATGAAAGATGTACGAGAAAGAAAATAAAGAAAGCAGAAAGTCACTATATACAAACGCAGCATAGTTTATGAAACTACAACTGATAATGAAAAGAGACACTATATACATAAAACACACCATAAATATTGAGGTAATATATCCAATTATAGCTAAGATTCTTTATGTAGCATACATGTAATCTTATTGCAGTACAATTCACCAAACATGTTTCAAATATTATCTTAATTAAAAAGAAATTTCTAAGTCTGGACGTTTAATTTGATCAATACTGCATTTGATTATGTTTTATCTCTACTATTAAGCATCCACATGAAAAAAATCTATGTCCATATACAGATGCATTAATCTTGCAACTTCCAAATGACTGCCACAAATATATTTTTTTCTATATTCAAAAGAAACATAACATACAATAAACAGTACATTTCCACTACTATATAGCCTTACCCGACAATTGTAAGGTGTGAAAGATGTAAATATATTATTCCAAAAAGAAAAAAATCTAATTTGTACAATAAAACATTTTCTCCTAAGTACTTTTATCAACTATGGCCATCTAAAAGAGAAGGAAAGTTTTAATAAATTCAAGTTCACCAGGAAATTAGTAACAAGTTACCAATTGTTACTGAGAAGCTTGGTTATTATGCAAAACTTTCTAAAAAAAACAACATAAAAAGGTGTGAGATGAGGAGTTCCATTTTCATAGCGAGTAGTGTTCTTTCTGAAGACGTCTACACGACTGTGCTTTTCCTCCTAAGGAATCTGGTGTGAAATACTCACAGCTTTTTATCTCCATTTAAAAGAAACTACATTTACGCAATGTTCTTAGCCTCAATCTACATGCTTACTCTCTGGTTGATTTCAAGTTTTTATTTATTTTTCT